CCATTCACCAAATATGGTGTAAACAGAATTATTAAGGCTCTAAAAAGCAAAAAACACGAACACCTGGAGAATTATTCTGTAAAGATTAGTCCCTGGCAACATCTTTAAACTTAATCAATGCATTTAGCGATTATTTTCGTGGTGTATTTATTCCATTTGCTGAATAGACGTTCACAATATCGACTGCATTTATGATATAATTATTGGTTTCATGATGAATTTATCTATTTCCTTCAAAAAAATTGATCCATTGAAATCGTTTACATTTCTGCATGACGACCAATAAGACTTGAATTTCAGCGATAATTTTACACTGGGCAAAATGATCAGATTTGCATTTAGGTGAAAATGATAAATAATAAAACTAATTTCAAATTTTTACTTACAAAAGGTAGGTTTGATTTTTGAAAGGTACAATAATTATATTAATATAAGGAAACATTTTTTCTATTACATTGCACACTTTTTGCGGAAGTGTTTTATAGGGTTTTAATTATGCTTTCCTCATATTCTGTTATATTTAAGGCGAAATTTTGTTAAAAATTGTATTTCTTTCAACAGCATACCCTTTTGCCACACAAAAATATTCAAACTGCTTCCAGATCCTTTTGATTTTTTAGTGTGAAATGGAGCCAAATTATTTATTTCCATATCGATTTTGCTCGAGCAATTTTCGCCAAACCGGCCGGAATGCATTTTTGATTTTCACTGTTTACGTTGTTATGCAAAAATTTGCATCAATACAGATCCAGAAAATAAGAAGAGAATGATCAATATACTTTTTTTTTCAGTGTGGAAAATATCCGCTCGTGCAAATCAAAATGTCTCCTAATTTTAAATTATCGGCAATTTGGCATGCAATCGACATACATATTACTATTGATAATAATTCTGCTACGATAGATAATATTTGTGACGTGGTGCCATATCGTTCTACAAATATTCGATATTATTTTAACATAAATGACTGATATTTTACAAGTAGTGAGAAAAATGAAATGAAATGACGACAATATACCGCATTTTTGATACATGACTGTATAGTAGATATACGTGATAATTTCGCAAAAGTTTTTGAAAGTAAACTAGTTAAATATAGGGCAATGTAAACAGTACGGTATTGCTTTAAACATATCCACAACTACGAATTTACATAACTGTACGCAAAATTCCTATAATTTATTAGACCAAAGACAGCACACTGGTGTTGTTTATCCGGACCTATCTAACTACTTTGATAGTTTTACCTAATGTTAAGGAATTAATAATATGTAGTAGTAAGTCTGGCTTATACGATAAATTAGTAGGTATCAATATTGAAGGCATTTCTTATTGGTCAACAGTGTATGCTTAGTATGAAAATTGAAAACCATTTATTTTTAAATGTGTCACGACTTCACGAGTTTACATTAAGGTTCCAATTTAGGTCTGTTGTTGGTTGCGATTTTTATTAATGGTTCAGAGTATAATATATAAAAAATATGGGATAATCTCGTCGCTGCCGTAATATTATTAAATCTGTTAAAGATGAAAATGTTGGTGTTATCTTGCAAAAGAATGTGAATAAATTGTTTAATTGATATAAATCAAATAAATTAAAAGTAAAGGAAAATAAATATCGGGTTATATTCTTTATTAGTCATAAAGTTAATATGTACTATATTGTACGATTACACTAAATATAAATGACCAGCATATGGTTAGAGGTAATGGGAATAGAGATTTTGGGAGTTGCAATGGATCAATCGTTATCGTCTGCGCCTCACATCGCATGTTAGTAATAAAGAGATGAAACCGCTGAGCCTCATCATATATAATATTAAAGAATTTTTTAGTACAGCATGTGTATACTGGTTAACTTATTTGATGTTTTAAGACGTGCAAATAAGATTTGTAAGTTTTCAGCAGAGAAGGTTATATAGTTTAATAATAATAAATTAATAATATTTTAAAGGAGGACGTCACATAAAATTTTGTAATTTTTTAAATATGTAGCTGCTAGTAATAAATATAAAGCGTAATTTAGGTGTCATTCTCTGTACTTGGTAATGCAAATATTATTTTAAATGTAGCCGATTGGTATAAATTCAAGGACGGATAAAATTTTGTTAAAATTATAACAAGTATGAGATCGGTGATCAACAGTTACTAATATGTAAATCCTTATAGTTTGCTTTCTATACTTTAATGGTAAAATTTTATTTGTATACTTTTTAATTTTTAGAAAACAGACGATGTGCTGCATTTTTAATAAGTGTATAATATTTAATTATGGAACATTATAGTGAAGAACAAATATTTTCATTCAGAAGACCTGCGTTATAAATGACAACAAAAAATAGAACAGAGTAAAGGTGACATTACATTTTCATCTCAAAGCCTAATAACAATCTGTTTTCTTCGTTGCTTTACAATAGTTAGATTAATTGAGTAGCAATGCCTAGCAATGTAATTTCATTTTTTGTTTCTAAAAAGCCAGTATTGACATCGCGCGACGGGATACAAAAGAGCTGTTTTCAGCATTGTTTTAAGTTCATCAAGTAGTATTGTTACAAAATAAGTAAACCAAATTAAATATCGTATTTTCACATATAGTTACATTTTTTAGACGAATGTAGTATTTTAAGCTCAACAAATAAAATTTTATAACAGAGTTAGATTTTATGGCCATCAAATTTACATAAAACTACGTGGAAGTACGAAAGAAAAACATTACTTTATAATCCTGAATAATGGCAATAGCAGAGAAAACTCTTTTCAGGGTCGTTATTGAAGCTTACTTTCAGAAAAGTATTTTTTAAAGACACTAATACATTCAAATTATTTCATCTTCTTTATAAAACCAGGCTGCCCTCAGCAACTGTAATTAACTTTAAATAACCGAACCAATTTATGCATATTGTCAGATAGTTGATACAATTGTATGAAAAGGAACTCATAATGTATAAGTAATGGAAATTTATTTAGCATTTATGATAGCATATTTATCATATTTAATCATCTACGTTTGTAGCTTATATTATTGTTCTTTAAGAAATATTATATTTAAATGCTGAGAACTGCAGACAGAGTTATTACCTCTCAGGAATTTTTAATATATGTTTCAATATCAGCGTGGCTTGTAGTAGATATATTAAATTTTTCTTTTTTTTATACAAGTTTCTTATATAGGTTACCTATATCGAAATGAAAGTCAATATGAGTACACTTTATTTTTGCGTATTATTTGTATCATCTTCATTCTTACACTAAAATCTAAAGCTCCCTCTTTCAAAATTTCTGTTTTTTTTTTAAGTGCACATTTTATTTTTTATAAGATGATGTGTTTTTTATTCAGAATATTAGTTATATTTGACCCTAACAAATGTAAAAAATGCCTGAGTTTTTCCTCGAAAATTTTACAGATTTATTAAATGACTAAGTAACTGTGGAAAAACTGCTCATCATCCTGGACTTGTCATGTGTGCATTATCTGCTGCAGAACAGTATATCTACATGTGAAAACTTTATTGTTTACAAACGTTTTATGTAAAAAAAAATTATATGTATGAACAGATTTCACTTTATTTTTCCACGCGCTGGTACTGACTAATTGACATTTTATGTATAATTATCAAATAACGTTCGAACGAATTTTATAATTTGAATAACTTTAATGTTAACCATAACCACACCATAAATGATTCTGGCATCAAGGATGACTCTGGAATGCCTTTAGTTTGTTTTGCCGCTTTATCATCATAGTGGAGCACTTTTTTGATACAAGAAAGTAGCCCTAAATTTATCCTCTTCACTTAAACAAATTGTGACATTCTATTTTGCAACAATTCTGTTCCTAAATTGTGTAAATGGGTATTTAAAAAAAATGTTTGCGTTGTATTTGATTATGTAAAGAGTAATTAACCATATTATTTATAAAAAATATATCTATATTATGAAAAACTATTTACATCAGGTTTAAAAAAAGCTTCTGATGGTGTGTGACTATCACTTTTCCATCATCGTATAAAAACGATCATGGCGATTTGTAAATTTTTCCTTAAAATTTTTCATCTCTACCTTGTAAAAATAAACTGTTTAATCGTAAGCAAAAGAGTAATTACTTTATATGACTGAGTTATAATTAAAATGTCGGTATAATCAAAAAACACTTGCTTGCAAAAAATTCATGCTGTAAATATTATTTATTATATACACACCAAAATGAATGTTAAAGCAGTGCTGAAAACTTGTGGAACATTTTCATGTGTTAATCTTCTTGACAGAAAAGTTAAAAAAGGTGTATTTATTTTTTTATTAAATAAATAAATAAATATTATCATCGGTATTCCGTTTGGAAAACCGTTTGTTGGAACGATCGCACTTTCTCACACGACTCAAAACAAATAATCCACTGTGGCATTTTTCAATAATTAGCAAAAATTATGTATTTATAGATAACAATAATATTTAGAACGCGAATTCAGTAAGTAGGTAATAACTTATTCTTTTTAAAATCACAGAAACACCGCTATTCGTTCGAAAATGACGTCAATCAAATTTTTGTTTCACACTTTCAAATCGCACGCATTATTATTATGTTTTACGAAAATCTACATTAATGTCCTCGTAAATGCGTTCGTTACGTTAATTATGGGTTTCAAGTAAGGTTATTGCAGACTTAGAATAAATTTTAATGATAAAATTGCGATGAGAAAGTAAATCTACGCGTGAAAGTCTCAAGAAAACAAGAATCTGATTTATGGTGTCACATCTTTGAACATATGATTATCACTAATGTGACGTTTTATCACCAAATTAAATGAGTTGTGTTGATCAATATCTAAACGAAAGAAGTCGGAAATGAATAAAGTTTTGCGAAACGCGGGAACAAGCGATCGATGAAGAGTAAAGAGGCTGTGTAATTGGTCCATTACATTCGCATAATGCATTAAACCACATCAGATATCCCACTTTTAATATAAATTTAATTATGTAAATATAAGATAAATGTGACTTACCGCAAAAAAATAAAAATCGTCTATTTTAGTACCGTTGTTAACTATGGTTTGATTTTCGTCTTGAGCTTCTGTCATTTTCTGTTTTGTTTATGTTTGTTTTTTTTATTTTTACATGATGTCTGTCCGTTTCTTGCGCAAAAATTCAGAGACTACTGGACGAAACGCGGCAATTTTTTATTATATATAGCAAGAACTTAATTCCAGACACATGCGCGCTGGACTATCCCGAAAAATTATAAATTCTCATCTTATTTAAATTATTTTATATTCTCGAGAATACCTGAAATCGACTGAAAAAACTTTATAAATTATCTCAAGATTTGACCGATCTCTAAGGCGCCGGAAGACTTTTCTCCTCGAACAAAAAACGATTTTAAATTGAATAAAGTGACAAGTAAATTGCTTGAATAAGCCGCTAATTATCGTAAACAATCGATTTAGTGGAGTTTATTAACACGCGATTTTTCTCCAATCCTAATCATTTATTTTAGTGGGAATTTTAAACTTTTTGTTGATGGGCCAATCGTTGCTGCGTAACTCGGCGAAACTGTGTATTTTTTCAGGTGAACGTATCATTTTCTAAATTTCGTGACTAAAATAGTGAGAATGGATTAGTTAGAAAAAATCATTCGGGTTAATGGGATGACGTAAATTCAAGCAAACACAGTGAATTTAGAAATAAGATGTTTCGTGGGACACTATTTTTGTATTCGGACAATTGTCGCGATAATTCACGTTAAACGTGGATAAAAAACTAATCGAAAACGGAGAAGAGTAATTTACGATACAGTTATTACGATTTTATGCCTAGATTCTTCATTCATGGCATGGGCGGAGGTCTTTTGTGCGAGGCTGAACGGAAAGCAAATTTACAATTTCTTGATAGACTCACATGTTGTTGCAACTTGTTTTATTATTTTTTCTTTGTTGTTGTCACGTGAATCTACAATCCTTTTAAAGTTTAATTCGTGATTTATTACAGGACAACAAGTAAATGAAAATCGAAGCATTAAATTTCTAAAACCTTTCTGACCAATTATCAAAATTAGAGTCCATACTTTTTAGTCATACATTTTTGTTAACCTTATGTAAGGTTTCTCTTTAAAATAATAACAAATTCATGGCATGAAGCAAAACTTAGGTTATTAGTAATCTGAACGTTATCGCAAATGCATTAGAAGGTAATAAAAATTTTTTATTTTTTTTTATTTTCTGAGAAATTTTAGATCACACAACTTGTTTTCTTAAAATTTAAAATTTTTAATGATTTCATACAATTAATAATTACATAAAATTAATGTACTACGAAATAATCTCTGTAATCCTAATCACTAAACACTGACACATTACTTCAGATTTTTTCCGCAGTATTTGTTTTAAGTAGTCAGTCCTCAGGTGGGTAGGGTAGGGTACAGTTCTCGATAATAAATTAACTCCATTTCCATTGAAATCAGACCTGGTAGTAATAGTAATAGTAATAGTTGAAATTTCACACTAAACATTGCAATACATATACAATTTTGGGCATTTGTGAATTCGAAAAAGAAGACTAATCTCGTTCCACGCACTATTCATATAATGACTTAAATCTCTCTGATCCTAGGTATATTGTAAATGGTTTTGTAGATCACTTTGCCAAATCATTCGTAAATAGAAATCCAATTGTTGAACTAAATAATTGTTCCAGTTTAAATAAATATGTTTTACGAATCAAGTGCATCAGCGAAAAAAGTGTGTATAAAGCTATAAAAAAGTTGAAATCTAAAATGACCAGTTGACCAAACCAAATTTCAGCGTATGTTGTGCGAGAGTGTGCTAATGTATTTATGAAACCTCAGGTTGACGTTGTTTATACCAATTCGTCGAAAGCATTCGATAAAATTGACCACCGGCTTTTACTCGAAAAACTTGAATTTTTTGAGTTCTCTGATCCCTTGATTTCATTATTAAGTTCATATTTGGATAATCGTTACCTGTGCGTTAAGATTAATAGGTTCAAGTCGGAACTGTTCAAACAAGAAACTGCTGTTCCCCAGGGTTCGGTGTCGGGGCCTTCATTGTTTGATATATATTAATGATGTCGTGGAGGTTATAAATGCACATTCCCTTTGGTTTACAGATGACCTATAATATTACTGACTCGCTCTAAGACTCTCATTGCTTGCAAAAATGTCTTGATGTAGTTTTTGTATGGTGCGTAAGAAATTATTTGACGTTGAATAAATGTAAATGTTACGTGATGACGGTTACAAAAAAAGAAATACCTATTATCTTCAGTTACGATTTAGATAACACTATTCTAACAAGAGCAATAGTAATACGTGACCTAGGGGTAGTCTTTGATCCAAAACTCTGATTCAATTTTCACATATAATTACATATAGTCAATAACAGAGTCGACTTTTAAATCTCTAGGGTTTGTCATTCGAAATGGACGTGATTTTGGAGACGTTGAAACGTTAAAAACATTATATTTTACGTTTTGAATATGCCTCTGCAGTTTGGTCCCCAATGTATACAGTATCCATATCTTCTTTACAGCGAATACGACGAAAATATCTTCAAAAAATTGGTCTAAAGAGTTTAGACAGTACTTCCCTCGCTGTCGGAAACTTGACGACCGCATGCCTATTGTGTTTTTTTCTCATTACATTTTTGTAGTGGGAATTTAAAAAAAAATTGCGATGACGTCATCAACATTTTTGCAAGGACACGTATATCAGTTGGAATAGATGTAGTGTAATACTAACAATAAAATTATTATATTCTCAAATTTTCGGGAAAATGAATTGGGTCGTTTTGAATATTGATTTTTAATAATCAATAAAATAACGAAACAATTTACTCACGTATACGTATCAGTGGCAACTGAAAATCGTGTATGTATAAACATTCTTAATTTAAGATGACAGGCGTAACAGCATACGTGAGAGTCAAACAGAGAAACTGTAAACAAAACGACCATCGGTTTTATTGCTTCGACTTCCGCTTATTATATAAAACATTGGGTTTTATTTTAATTCTTGACGGTGAAATTCACAATTGGTTGATTATAAACATGTCTATTTCACATTCGCGGAACCAAGTGAGCGCATAAAACAAATGCAGGTCTGTAATGTTAAAGTCGATGTAAATAAGCGTGCTACCCTTATGTTTCAACCGAGTTTTTCCTTTAACAAATTTTGTGTCTACCAAATTGGGTTGGTTGGGTGTAATACTAATAATAAGTGTTGCCTTTAATTTAATCAATAAAATAAATTCACTTCATTAATTTTTTTGAACCACCTCTTAAGAAAATCTAAAAAATATGAATGGAGTGATAAATCACAAGTACAAACTCATCATATTTTTTGCATTTTAGATAGGATTTATTCAGCAAAATTTAAGGGTGACGTCATCAATTTTTTTAGGAGGGATGAACAAATACATTTTGAACAAAAGTTTACCATGCTTATAATAACTTTAAAATATTCCCAAGATTTCAAAGCATTCGGTTTTCTAATTCCTGATTAAATCGATAAAATAAATTCACGCCTTCATTAATTTTTTTGAGTCACCCTGCATATGCAAATCCAAAAATATGATTGGAATGATAAATCACAAGTACAGACTCATCATATTTTGTACATTTTAGATACGATTTATTCGGCAAACTTTTGAGCTGACGTCTTCAGTTTTTTGTAGAAGATAACCAAATATATTTTGACTAAAAATTTATTATGCTCTTTATAACCTTAAAACATCTGCAAGATTTCAAAGCATTCGGTTTTGTAGTTCCTGATTAAATCAATAAAATAAATTTACGCATTCATTAATTTTTTTGAGTCACCCTGTATATGCAAATCGAAAAAATTTGAATGGAATGATAAATCACAAGAAGAGACTCACCATATTTTGTACATTTTAGATAGGATTTTTTCAGCAAAATTTTGTGGTGACATCATAAATTTTTTAGGGGGGACGACCAAATACGTTTTGATCAAAAATTTACCATGCTTATGATAATTTTAAAATATCTTCAAGATTTCGAAGCATTCGGTTTTGTAGTTCCTGAGTAAATCAGTAAAATAAATTTACGCTTTCATTTATTTTCTTGAATCGCCCTGTATATGCAAATCCAAAAAATATGAATGGAGTGATAGATCACAAGTATAGACTGATCATATTTTGTACATTTTAGATATGATTTATTCGGCAAATTTTCGAGCTGACGTCATCAAGTTTTTGGAGGGGATAAGCAAATATATTTTGACTAAACATTTATTATGCTCTTTATAACCTTAAAACATCTGCAAGATGTCAGAGCATTCCGTTTTGTAGTTCCTGATTAAATCAATAAAATATATTTACGCATTCATTAATTTTTTTGAGTCACTCTGTATATGCAAATCCAAAAAATATGAATGGAGTGATAAATGACAAGTACAGGCTCATCATATTTTGTACATTTTAGATATGATTTATTCGGCAAACTTTCGAGCTGACGTCATCAAGTTTTTGGAGGGGATAAGCAAATATATTTTGACTAAACATTTATTATGCTCTTTATGACCTTAAAACATCTGCAAGATTTCAGAGCATTCGGTTTTGTAGTTCCTGATTAAATCAATAAAATATATTTACGCATTCATTAATTTTTTTGAGTCACCCTGTATATGCAAATCCAAAAAATATGAATGGAGTGATAGATCACAAGTACAGACTCATCATATTTTGTACATTTTATATATGATTTATTCCACAAACTTTTGAGCTGACGTCATCAAGTTTTTGGAGGGGATCAGCAAATATTTTTTGACTAAAGATTTATGATGCTCGTTATAGCCTTAAAACATCTGCAACATTTCAAAGCATTCTGGTTAGCAGATTAAAAATTAAATTTCAAAATGTTGTTTTATAATTTTGATTTTTTTTCCAAAAATCTGGACGTTTCGGGTGAAAAGTCGATTCAGAGTTGTAAACTACATGTGTAGGACTATGTTATTTTATACAATTGAAAACCCATTTACTATGTACAATTTTGAAGTGACGTCATCGCATTAGTGGTGGGGATGATTAGACAAATTTTGGTTAGCGTTTTACTATCTACATGATATTCTTAATATAAGTACAAAATTTCACAACAATCGGTCGAGTAC